TTGGAGAAGGAGTTTGAGGAATGTGACGTGGTGAAGGTGGATACTGCCGTCTTGGATTCACGGGATTGCGATGAATCCTCGTCAGAAAAAAGTTGCTTGTCGAATGCAACATTGAACCCGGAATCGCACACGCTTCAATGGATCCCAACACAGGTTGAGAGGACTCAAAAGGGTCCACATTGAAGGCTGGTGTGGACCCGTTTGTGTCCTCTCAGTCTTGTGACAGTGATATATGCAATTTCACACCCAGTTTTTTGAATAAGGGGGTTGGCCAAACACAATGCTATGATCTATATTGTACCATGTAAACAACAACAATCAATAAACAACATTCACCAACTACGTTGGAGTTGATGAACTCAACCCTGGTTGAACTTCTCAAGCAAGATTAGGTGTATCATTTTGCTTGCTCACCCTCTCAATTTGGGGTTACCCCAAGTGCCCCATTGAGGCCCCCTTGACGTTGGCAATCGGTCTTTCACTGCATAGCCAAAGATACCTGAGAGGGGTTGGCCACTCCTCTAAGGTGCAGCAGGGTGACCACTTCGGAACTAGCAGTGAAGACATTTCACTGCAATAGAGCAATGCAATCATATGATTTAAGATAGGTGGGACTTTGGCAGCCAGTGATGGGTTTCCCTACAGTTTTTTCAAGATCTATGGCTGCCAACAAATGTCCCCAAGCAGCTCCGCAAAGAACAAAGAGGTCTCGGGCTGATGCAATACGATGTATTGCCGTGGAATCATGGGGCTGGCCTCTGTCCAGTCTGCGACGATGCTTCTTGGCTTTTTGTGGTTTCCATAGGTATGGGTACCTTTAGGCGGAAGCCACTTCGGGGTTTTGATGTGCCAAGTACACTCGATCTTTCACTCGTCTACCAGATTCCGACATGTGCAGAACACGTGTTGGCGTAGCAGTTTATTGTACAAAAGAAAGGAGCGGCCAAAAAAAACAGTTGACATGTTTTTCCGATCTCGCTTTCAAGTGAAGTTTGCAGAGTTTGTCAGCTCTTCGTTGAGCCCACGTCACCCTTGCCCAAAGCCCTGTGAGGCATCCCCCTCACATTGTTGAGTGGCCCGACTTTTCTCCATGCCAGGTCCACGTGGTGAGAACCACAAGGACACAGTCCTGCGACGCTGCGCTGAGCTGGTGAGCAATGGTGTTTGGGGAGTCTGGGGCCTCATCTTGAAAGTGGTCAGCTGGTGCTGATTAACCACAACTGCCCGCTTTCAATTCGAAGCTTTTCGGCCCGTTGGATATATAACCCTTGGCCAAACATTTTGCTTTCAAACATGCCACTTTTTTTCCTGTAAAAAAGGTGGTGCATTGATCAGTTCACCAGTGCGCAAATCCAGCAAAAAAGCCATGGATTACTCGCTGGAGCTCTTGATGGATGAGCCTCCTGTCATAGCGGTTAAGTGGGCTGCTGGAGCTGGCACTCCTGATGGTGACCATGGGAAGTCTTATGGCTGCAATGCTTGCTTCAACGTTAACATGCAACTCAAGTCTTTTCTGCAAGTGTTACATGAAAACAAGATGATGGAACTCAGGAAGCTAAAACCCATCTCTGAGCTTGATGGGAAACCGCCTCCATCGATTCCAGCTCTACCATAGCCGCCCGGAGCATGGCAAGCAAGTGGAGGAACTGGCTTGCAAACATGTATGTCAATATGCCTAATGAAAAATTACAAATATGTGTCTCGTATGACATCATGATCCGCCCATCCAAACAGGTTCTTGGCTCCAACGCATCGACTTCTGAATGGGGGAAAGTGAGGCCGCGCGGCCGTCTGAGCCACCGAGCGGGAAGCCACCGAGTGAGCACCGGCGCACCCAAGAATATCTGGAATATCCAAGAACTGGATCGATATATTCGATAGGCTGTTCGATAGTATCAAAATCGTGGATCTATAGTTGTCTGTTTCAAATTTTGCGTGATACAGAATCCTGCGTTACAGTTTCGGAGAGGGTATGCGCAAATGGGGTGATCGTGCAGACCAACATGGTTGGGTGGGGTGACTGTGTGGCTGCTTAATTTTAGACTTTTGAGATGCAGCTGGGATATCAAAACATTGTGTGAATTTGCGCTCAGTGCGCCGTTCAATTGCTTTCCAAATTTGATTTGTGTTTAGTTCCGAGAGCACTTTCAAAGCTGAAGTTTCAATTCCCTGCCCTACACGCAGTTCAATCATTTTGTGCCTTCCACCATCTTGATTTCAGCAATTTCAAGTGTTAACTTTCTTTTTGCCAAGGCCCCAGCGAAACACGTTGTGCAGCTGGCGAAGGCAGAGGTCGACAAGAATCCAAATGCCACTAGGGCGATGAAAAAGTTTGCAGCAATTCGATTGAAAGATGCTGAACAAGGAGTTCACAAGCTTTTGAGAGAAGAGGGTCCAAGTACCAGTGGAGAAGTTCATTGTGGGGCCGCAACTTACACTTCCCTACATCAAGCTCTCGTCATGGGCCATGGGTGAAGTTTCTTTTGGGTTCGAATAGGCTTCCAAAGTTGGTATGCCTACAATCGCAAAAATGAAGCTGGTCCTGAGGGAGTGTGGGCTAGATTCCGCTCTGTCTACCCAGATCATGGGTACTTAGCTCATGCCCAGAACTTGAACCATGGAATACCTTTGGAGGCAACAATACTCTTCTTTTCCCGCGCCGATGACGGTAGATCTTACAAGCATCTTGGGATTTGGGTTCTTTCTAGCGCTGGCTGCTTGGGCACACGAAGCCATATATTGCGGCAAATCGCCACAAACTACCACTACATGAAAATAGCACGGGTGCAAACTTTGTTGGGAAGACTTGGACCACTCAGTACCTCTTCACCACTGTGCTCAAGACAGTTTACAACAAGTATGGGGCAGTCTTGGAGGATTTGACTGCCATCTACGCTGATGACGTAAGAAACTCATGTATGAAGGGGTTGTTTCAGCTGATGGGAGTGTGCATGTATTCATGGCCCACATGGGTCTCAAGGCTGACCTTCCTATGCTACAGAAGATGGGACATTTCAAGCGGCGCTGGTCTCATGTGCTCCGACAGGCTTCCTCAAGAAATCCCTGCTGATCCCCAGTGCAACTGAGGCAATTGCAACGAAAGTGATGAACGTTGCCATCACTTTCATGTACCAAGCTGGATTTTGACTGAGAGGCAGTGACGCGAAGAGATTGAGTGGTTTCCTCTACATGTTTTGGTCCCAGTACTTGAAGTGCGCGCACTTGACGTTGCAGAGAGGTTTGCGCCGGTTTGCGGTTCTCCCGAAGGAACATATGCGGGCCCGTGACGCATTCCGTCTTTTGGTTGAAAGCAACCGCGTCGGCTCTAGCGGATGGATCATCAATCCAATTGTTTACACAAATCAAGTGCAAGAAGATTTGTTTGGGCGACCCTCGCGCTTGTCGCGTCGTGTGAACATCAAAGGACTGCATTGGAATGTAATCCGTCGAACTTTGATTGTGTACCAAACATGCCTATTGGACTCGGATTCTGACACTCGTGGTCTCGACTCATTTGAAGACGTGTGATCTATGAAATGTTTTGTTCATTTTTTACATAAGGTACAAACTTCTGTTGTTGCGGTTTTGCTTTTTTTTCTGCTGACCACGAGCGCTTGTCGATCGAGCAAGGCAGGCTGAACAAGACAAGGGAGTGGGAAAGGGGCAGGGCCAGGATGAACAAAGGAGAACATACATGAGGATGAGATCAGTGAAAAACATAGAAATCGCAAAAGGCCGTATTTTTGTGAAAGGGACATAATTTGATATAGATGGGTGAACCATGTGCAATTTTATGAACTCTTATCAAAAGAAGGGACCAACCGGCCCCAGGTATATGCTATGGTTGCCTTGAACGATTTGCCAACTGGTGGACGCAATGGATTTGTGCCACCAAGTCGACTAAACTTTCAAGTCGCACGTTTTATCATTTCCAGTTTGTTCCTTTCTTCGACGCCTTTATGGCTACTTGGTAAATGGTTCTTAGTCTTTGGCAGCAAGTAGATGGTGATGATAGTTCTAGCAGGTTGGAAAGAAACCTGGGCAAACTCGCCACAGAGCATTTCTAAGCCGAAAGTGCACCCCTATCCGCAAAACTGTGGAAATATCAGTTTATATACGTATAACAAGACTATATATAATCCCCAGTACCTAATTTAATCGTACCCGTATTTAATTCAGAAGACTCATGTCGGAGTCGGAGAACCCTAAATACGGTTCATCGTATAATTGTGTTTAAATAGCCTGACTTTTTGGCTCTGAAACTCTTCCCAGGTTTCTGTACGAAATCTGCACTTTAAGCTTCACAAAGCGCAGCGCCTGACACGAAATCTGCATTTTATAAGCAATTAATCAATGATTCAAGGTCCTTTTGGACAACCCCGATTTCAGGGACCCCTGATTTAAAAAGATGCACCCGCGCTTTTTGTTAATGGGGGGAGGGCCGTGTTTTTGAATAGGTGGAGGGGATTATTACTGTGTATTATATGCATTCAACCGTAGCTGTTGTCCAACCAATCACCTCTAGCAGGCCTTTCTTGCCCTCCTTCTTCCATCTCTTGAGCACAGAAGGTCGCTTGGTGCCAGCGACGACGAACAGTTACCGTACTTCCAAGAACTTCTACCCCGAATAGTCTAGATTGTTGTATTACCAACGTGAAACGTGAGAAGAGATTTGTCATGTTTGGCCTAAACCGGTGCCACGTTAGTGTTTTGGCAAGACCTGAAAAGTTCCACGTCACGTTTGTGTGTTCTTGCTCAAACTTGAGACGCTGCTCCTGTTGTTTCTGGGGGAGTCCCTGGCTCAACAGGGCTCAGGGTAAGTTGGATATCGGGCGCCCGCTTTTTTGTTTTTTACACCGGATCACATAACATGGCATTTGGTACAGGCCCTCCAAATCATCAAATCGTTTTTGCTTGTGTTTGCAGCTATTATTTGTCGCCTCAAGAATGGGGACAGTACAGCCAGACTTGACCAGAAACAGTTCCGATTTGCCGCCCAGGCTGGCATTGCGGTTTTGCAAGAATCAACTCAGAACTTTACGAGAACATATGTGTGGAGCTTAGTCGACCTAAAGAAACGAGGGCGCAGCAGCTAACAAGACAATCAATATCAATACAACCATCAGATGCGGGGCGCCTTTTTTCAGAGGTGCCGTTCGCCCAGTGACTCCGCCTCCACCTCTAGTTACTCTCAACTGTCCACTAAGGACGTCTTCCAGCCAGATGATCGAGTAGCCCTAAGTAGCCCTAAGTAGCCCCATTTGCATGTAGCCGGTGTCGTGATTGGTGCAAGCGTCAGCGACCAGTCAAGTACTCAGCCGTGTTCCCTTTGTTTTTTTATATTCTTTTTAATTGCTTAGCAGGAGCGCGTGCTGTGTCGTACTGCTCAGCCTGAAGCAATTCAACGTGCTTGTCAGACCACAAGGGTGGGACCAGTTCCACGCACACTGACTGCCAAAGGCTTGAAGTTTCCGCTATTTTCACGAGCATCCAACTATTATATATATAGATGGTTTTTAAGTTGGTGGTAGCCGCGCTTTACGGAGAACCCTTTGCAACCGCTTTTGGGAAAACGGAGGTTTCAATTGGAGCATGGATTGTGCTTGGTTTATTCGCAAGGTCAATGCGGATGGGAATGCCTTTGAAGGACCTTGAAGGGTACTGTATCGACATGCAATAAACACTAGGGAAGCCTCGCTCATGGTGAAGAAATCAAGGCAACAAGCATTTGTCACAGAAAACTTCGGAGTTCATAGTGTAAACACCTGGAGCCTGGAGGGACCTGAACGAAAAACGTCTGGAATGATCAGAAGATCAATCCTATTCTAGAGCGAATGAAGCACGAAGCAAGAATGCAAGGACCAAGTCCAAGTCATCTTCCAGATTGGGACTTGCAAGCCTGAGGCATTTCATTCAGTATTTGATGCATCTTGCAGTCTCAGTCTCAAGATTTTTGGCCATGCCAAGCCAACAAAGCAGCGCCGTATCTGAGAACGCACTAGCCATTTGCAGAATCATGGAGAAGAGATGAGAAGTGCGGGGCACAATCCTCGAAACTATTGAGGTCTTATAAGGTCGACTCCAGTGGCTGCACAAGGATTCGTGCAAGTGTGGCGGCAACCCACCTTCAAGCACCTATGCTTGCCGGCCTGCTGAGTGTACATGACAAGTCTTTGTGGTGGACACGCAACTACCCATCGCACGAGGAGAGCAAAGCGGAACCCAGAGTGAAGCCTCAGCCACCCTGGAAGGTCAGCCGTCAGCCGAACAAGATTTCCTCAAGCATCCAAGTTATGAACACAAAATCGAATTCCGACGTTGCCTTGAATAAACAGTGAGCCGCTTCCATTCTGTAAGTTTAATGAACACCTGGGTCAGAGGAATTTGTCCGTTTATTGGTGTGAAGAGGCTTTCAAGAAGGAACAACGGTGTTGCAATAAGTTAAGGTCAAGATCCCTGCCTTGCAGAGATGGCTCCTTCAGCCCACATGAAACCCTGTTTGGCTGGCCCGATGCTCACTTTCTTGCAAACCCACAACTCAACCTCGCCTACCGGATGGCTTTCGTAGTAGCATTGTTTTGTATTGGGTCGATGGTTGCTACGCGTTATTGCAATGCCTCACGTCAGCTTCTTCACGCAACGCACACAACAGCCAGGTGAAAGGATGTGCATGGGGATAGTTTTGCTATGGTTTGCCTTTGGAACCGTTGCCAGCTGGTTGTGGAGCTAACAGTGAAGAGCTACCCAGGCAGCTACACCTGACACGTCGTTCGAGAATATTGCGCCCGTCTTGTCATTGGGCTGCTTGCAACTTCCTGTTGCAACCAGGCCATCGAGCATCACCTTCCAAATTGCTGTCAAGTGTCTATTTCCTTGTTTTTGTGTGTTCTTTCTTTTAACTTCTCAGAACGTCGAGTTTGTTCCTTGGTGTCCAATCGCATGTACCGAAGGGGCAGGGGCAACAGCGTGGCCCAGCAATCCAACACGGCAAACAACCGAGCAAACTGAAAGCGCAAGGCCCCAACTGCCTAACCATCAACAATCCAACATAATCCAACCATCATCACCACCACCATCATCATACAGGTGTAGAGGCGCAGGTTATGCACTTAAAAAATCAAGGTGGAAGGTGCCAAAGTGTGTGACTGTCGTCAAAAATCAAGGGGAAGGTGCCAACATGATCCAACATGTGCAACTGTCGTCGAAAGTCAAGATGGACGTTGCTAAAGTGCGACTGCGGTTAAAAACGAGGTGGAAAGCGCCAAAGTGTGCAATTGTCGGCGAAAATCAAGGTGCAAGTTACCAAGGAGTGTAACTGTTGTCGAAAGTCAAGGTGGACGTTGCCAAAGCGCATGACTGTCGCCGACTGTGGCTTCAGAACTGGCAACTTCTTACAAATGTAGTATAGTTCTGTCCACAAGTAAGAATGGCCCACAAGGGTGGTTCACAAGATTGTCGCACAAGAGTCACAAGAGTGTCCCACAAATGTGGTTTATAGGTAAGGGTGTCAACACTGTCGAAGAGTGTCCCTGCAAGAGTGTTGCGCACGATTGCCCCGCAGGTGTATCTTGAGGTGGTCACATCTACTTTGTTTTTGCATTAGCCCCATTGCGATCGGCATCGCTACTATCACAACGAGCACCATCATCATCATCATCATCATCATCATCCTCGTCGTCATCATCACGGCCGTTATCAACATCATTGTTACCTTGTGTCCTCTCCTACTGCGCTTTCCACGCTGCCGTGTAGTTTCCAAATGTTCAGTGCATGTGAGGAAAGGTTTCTCAGGTCGCCGTTAATTGCGTCTATTATAGTGACGCCATGTCGCAACCAGTTTGATGCATTTGCAGCTCATGTCGTTTCGTTTGCAACCAACTTATTCAATGCAATTGTTTTGCAGCTTGCCGCTTCTTTTAGGAGCAGCTGGAAGGTAACTAGGCGCCGTATGTTGTTCGAGGTGCGGTAAAAGCCAGAAGCTGAGGTTGGAGGCTATGACTATGCCACCAGGGAAGCAGCTAAAGGCAAGTGCCAATCGCTGGGATATCAAGGATTATGCAGCAAAGCTGAAGTGGAAGGCGAGTCAGCTGGGTTTGACGGTTTGACATCCACAATTCCGGAAATGTTTTGCTTCTGGTCGTGAGCCGGAAGCTCCGTTGAAGCACAGACAATCAATTAAATTCTGACTTTGTTCCTCGACTTCCTTTAGCTCAGCTAGTGCAGCTTTGGTATTCTTCCAGTTGGTGGAATCTTGCAATTTGTCAGAGCGAAGCCCCTTTTGGCGGCCAACCGTTTCTTTTTTAAATACTGATGCATGCTGATACTGTTCCGGCATGCGCAGAGCAGACGTTTTGCCACGGCCGCACGCCGGCCTTTCACGTCAAATTTTGCAGCGCTGCCGAATATGGTAGCGGAGCGTCGAGCACCCTGAGATAGGGTCGTATATCGTCGATTGCATCCTGAGGTACATCAAGTGAACTTATTGAACTTATAACATAAGTTACTTATAGCTAGAAATAAGTAGAAATTAGCTAAAAATTAGCTAGAAATAGCTAGAAATTACCTAGAAATACCTAGAAATAGGTAAGAATTAGATATGTCTAAAATATGTGGTTTCTTATGTTTTTTAAATGCTTTTTGCTTTTCCTATGTTTTCGATTTATTAACCAAAAAACGTGTTTTCTCTTGAACATTTACCAGTTTTGTAAAACATTTCTATGCGGCCTAAGGGACGCTCTGATGCAGCAGAGCGGCCGTGAGGCCGCTTTCCTTTTTTCTTTCAAGCAGCTAGCCATGTTTTTTGCTAAATGGTCGAAACCAATGGTTTCGACCATTTAGCATAGTATTCTTTATCTTTACCGCCACGGCGGCGTTTTCGGCCTGTGGCTTCATAGGTTTTTTTACGGGCTGATTTCTTGGCATCCGCACAATGCAGTGCCAATTCGGCCTCAGACATGTGAGGAGCGATGTCATCTTCCTCAGTGCAGGAAGAAACTTCTGTTGGTAGCGGAGCTGTCACCGCAGAAACCACCGTGTTCTTCGAAGACGATGGGTTGGCTGCAGCTGTCACCTCACTAACCACTGTGTTTGCATCCATGTTCTTCGAAGACGAAGAGTTTGCTGCAGCTTTCACCGTGTCGTCATCTGCAGCCACCGTTTGTGGATTCGATGCTGCCAAAGAAATTCCATCGTCAGTGTCCGTATGTATATTTAGTTCCACGAATTTCGAAGATGAAGAGGGATGGTCAGGCACTGCAGTTTGTGGATTCGATGCTGCAAAAGAAATTGCATCGTCTTCGTCCTGTCACATAAACAAAAGAGTGGCCTGAGAGTCAGTTCTTGATGTTAAACATACGATGAGCCCAAGGTCTGTGTCATACAAAATGTGCTTATGTACCCACAGAAACACGTCGGACACTAGGAAAGATGGCTGTCCTCCTCCTTGGTCTGCAACCGCTGCAACCACTGGGTTTCTTTCTTGAGGTCGTAGCCGTAGCCCTCAACGGTTTCAATGGACTCAGTCTTTGCGTCTCCGACCTGTGTTGTGGAAGTGTGGAGTATCTCTCAATAAGGACATGTTTTCCAAAAATACTTTTGGTCTGAAAACCAAAACTTGAGTCGAAACTTGCAATACGAATGAGGCAAGAGACATTGTCCTCAGTTGTGTTTTCAGACTGGCTCTTCTCCACTGAAAGAGGCTTCGCCGCACCAGGTTCCTGCTTCACCTGCAAAACACCTTTTCGCCGACGTTTCCATGGTGGCGGTTCCTCCATAGTCTGGGGGTCGTATTTAGACTGCAAGGCAGTGAGCTATATTATATTCAAAACGCTTGTCCTCGTCATGTATGTTGTTTGTGGGTATATTTGTCTTGTCTGTTGTTTCTGACTTGCGTTTGTCCTAACATGTCGTGACTATATGTCATTTTGTTTGTGCTTTGTGTTTCAACCATGCTATACGTCATGTGTATTCGTTCGTGAGGTGGATATATAGCTGCTTGAGACCATTCACATAATTTGAGCCTGTTTACTTGTAAAGTGTCACAAGCAATCACATCAGAGCGTCCGTAGGGCCGCTGTCAAGATACCCTTTCATTAGAACTGGCTCATCTTCCTAAAAGCATATATGCAATAGGCAACAGTTGGCTCAAATAACATTGGGATGAAACAAATCGCAGTATCCAGGACTACTATAGACACACTATTTTCCAAATCAGGGAAGCTGAACGTGCTCGAATTTAGTTGTTGCATTTGTCACGAAAGGTAGCCCTTTAGGGGATACCTTGAGTTTGTCTTGCGAAGCAAGTGTTGGGACGTCCGGGTCTAATAATTGATCGCTCAATTCAGACCCCCCCCC